TTTAATAAAAATGGAAAAAATAATAATAATGAACCGTGGTTTTGGACCTGAGACCCGTTCAGATCCCAACAACGTACTTGTATTCGGAAAATCGGCTCCGTTCCGTACATTTTTTTAGACATTGGCTACAATAACTATATAGCACTTTTTATAGGGTATATAAATGATGCAGGGTATCAAATTTAGCTTGATTGGTGGATACATATATGTACGCCATCATTACCCAGTTTTGTACGTACGTACATTACACCAGTAACATTAGGTATATGTGGCTATGTTACAATTATTGCAATTACATTAGTAAATTACATGTAACTTATTTAATTGTTAAGTTCAATCAACAATACAGCAATAACGATAGATACGTATTAATATTTGTCATATTTATTACGTATATAGCATAGAAACAATAGCATGCAACTCGAATCGACCTTCACCCTGAATCGATAATGTTAAAGTTTGCCAAGTCATTATCGTTATCAGTTATGCAATTATGCCTAAATATGGCATTGTAGAGTCTTTTTTATTATAAGACCCAAAACTGTTCATAAATTGAGGATACTAATAATGGAAAGATCTACGAAAAACGACAAAACGTCATCGGAGTCTTATTATCATGACTCAAAGTCTTCTGATCTAAGCAGTATCCAAAATAGCATCAGTAATATTACGACAACACTTAACCATCCTGACCGAAATTGTTTTATTTTAATTACCGAATTTAATTTGTGATATTATAATGCTATTTTAGATACAGTACTATCGCTATAAAATACGAAGATTTTGATTAGGTTATAAAACCAATTTTACTTATTACGAAGCCTCTTATCAAAGAATTTTAAACTTTCACTCAAAAAATAATATGCTCTCATTTTACAATTCGATAGAGGTTTCATACATCCTTACTTTTTTATTTGCCTCTTACATTATACACGTATTACTTAACATTTACAAGCAATCAAAATGTATAAAATTTAATCATACATTTGAAAAAAAGAAAAAAATTCCAATATCTGTAAATTTTCATTTTACTCGTAAATGTAATTATGAATGCGGATTTTGTTTTCACACTGCAAAGTCATCTGAAATTCCCACTATAGAAAGTTCTAAACAAGTTTTACGAAAACTTTCAGAAGCTGGAATGAAAAAAATTAATTTTGCCGGTGGTGAACCATTTTTATACACAAAATATCTTGCCGATTTAATGGACTTTTGTAAAAATGAATTAAAATTAGAATCAGTATCTATCGTTAGTAATGGAAGTAAAATTAAACGAACATGGTTGCAAAAAAATCGTGATAATTTGGACATACTGGCAATCTCTTGTGATTCATTTAATGAAGAAACGAATATTAAAATTGGCCGTGGATCAGGACAACATATTAAAAATTTATATGAAATTGCAGAATGGTGTCATCAATTAGGAATAAAATTTAAGTTAAATACCGTAATAAATGCTTTTAATTGGGAAGAAGATATGAATGAACATATTAAAATTTTAGCTCCATTCCGATGGAAATGTTTTCAAGTCTTAATTTTGGAGAATGAGAATGGTGGATTTGAAGGTACATTAAGAGATGCAAGAAGATTTAAAATTTCAACAGAGCAATATGAAGCATTCATCGAAAGGCATAAAGCTCAGAAATCAATGGTTAAAGAACCTAATAATATAATGAAAAATTCATACTTAATACTTGATGAGAAATTACGCTTTTTAAATTGTACAGATGATGACAAAGTTCCAAGCGAATCTTTACTAGATGTTGATGTTGACACGGCATTACAGCAAGCCGGTTGGGACGAGAGTGCCTTTTATCAACGACAGGGAATTTATAATTGGTCAAAGTTTCCAAATAATGATTGTGCCAGCGCGAATGATTCAAAAAAGTTTGATTGGTAAAAATTTTGTTCAAGTTTTTTTTTTGGTTTATAGGAATTTTTAGGTTCAACTTGATACATTATTGATAAACGTCGATTCTTTTTTTTTTTTTATAATTAAGAAATAAATCATTATACACTTGATCCTCATTAACATCAACCTATTTAGATTAAATGATTACTACGAGAGTTGGTGACAAAGAGATAATTATTAATATAGTCTTTAGCACAATTTTTAATTGATGAGAGGTTGTTATTAACAAGGGTCATGTGTAATTTTTGTTAAAAAAATTTGTCTTTTAAAAATCTATACGTAAGATGTAGCCGGCACATTCGATACTTTGGGCTGTTTGTTAAATTATTATGTCCATAACGCAGGCATCTTAGCCGATTTTCTTTTATTACTATATTATAAATAATGACATGCGCATGCTTCTATAACTTGAGTTACATAAATCTTCTTTCGAGTTATTATACATTATAATTCTCTCGTTATACTGCATAAAACACGTCCAACTATTAGGCATACGAAATTAATCTTTTGTTTCTCATAACAAAAAAATTTTTTTGCCCACTAGTCCAAACTTTTATTTTAAAGATAAAAAAAAATCTAAAAATAATTTAATTTTGAAAATTGTAGTCCAGGACCCGGTATAAAATTTTTTAAGCTCTGAGCACCCATCCGTTTATAAGATCATTGCCGGATCACAAAATGCAGGGTTGGGCAATTTATATGTCCAATGCTTTTTACTGGGCATTTCCGAATTGTCCAGTTTTGTCCATTGTATGTTGTGAACGTGGTGAACTTTCGGGTGGTGACTAATAACCTAATCTAATATCAACAAACACAAACTAATCTATCAGGAAACAAGACCGAAACCTCAAAAATGGAAGGCGACGATCGAGGCGTGATGAGACTTGGTCCGAGTATTTTAGAGCGTGGGTCTTGTATAGGCAATGTTAAGGCTCAACTACGTTTCCCTTTACTTCTAGAATAGGTTTACTTGACCGAGGTTATATATTTCTAACACTAATGATTTCGTTTTATTCTTTTCTTTCGGGGTTTCGCTTATTTCGGGTCACGTGTCACAAGACTTTGATAATTTCGATTGATAGACGTTGTGAAACCGGAAACGTGACCTGACGCAGGCACGTTGTGATGGGGTGACCAATAAACTTAAACCTAAAACTAATCTATCAAACTATCTAATACACCGGATAGTGTATATTCGGCAGCCTCAAGACTCTAAAACCTTGAGTGGTAGGCTTCAAATAGAGGCGTGGAAAGACTTGGTCCGAGTGTCAAGGTCTTTCGGGTCTTGGAATAATGTTACTGAGCTCGGCTAAGTCTTCTGTATCCTTTTTCTATAATGTTGCTTTTGCTGATTCGATAACTCTACCTCTTAATACCTTTATTTCTTTAGCTTAGAATGTTTCGCTTTCTTTCGGGGTCACGTGTTACGTCACTTGGATAACTGCGGCGATCGGAAGTTTAATATTC